AAAACTACTCACTACTGATGAAAGGAATCAAAGCTGCACTGAGAGAAGAGACACCCGGTATTAGCGGACTGCGAGACTTAACATAGCAAAGACATCAATTCTCTTCAAACTGATATAAAGGCTTAACACAAAAATTCTTAGCAAGATTTTTTATAGAAAAAGACAAGATTATTTTAAACTGTATATGGAAAAGCATAAGAACCAAAATAGGTTAAAATGCTTTAAAAAAGAAGAATAAAGTAAGAAAATCAGTATCCATGATCTCACAACTTATGTAGCTATAGAAATTAAGGCTGTGCAATGGTGGAAAGATAAACAAATAGACCAGGGCAGGGGAGGTAGCTCAGTGGCACAAGTGCCTGCCTGCAGGTGCAAGGACCTGAGTTCGATTTCTGGTACCAAAAAAAAAAAACAAAAAAACAAAACAAAAAAAAAAAATCAATAAAAGGGAACAGAGAATACTAAAACAGGACCAAACAAATATATCTAGTGGATTTTTGACAAAGGTGCCAGTGCACTTTAGTAGGAAAGATACACCTTTACAGAAAGTGTTTCAGGAATAAGCAAACATCCACAGGAGGGGAAAAAAAGCCTCAACCTAAGGTGATCATCTTATTCAAAAGCTAACTGGAATTTGAGTACCAACTTAAATATACAACAAAAATAAAACAATTGGAAAAAATATGAGCAAATCTTGTTACGTAGGGCTAGATAAAGAGTTCTCAGCCCTCATACCAGGAGCCCAACAACCCATAAAAGAAACTCTGATATTCTGCACTTCATCAAAATTAAGATATATTTCCTTCACCAAAACCGAAACAAAACAAAACATCAAGGATAGGAATCTGTGAGTTGTAGTAGGAGAAAAGATGGGGCTGGGAATTTAGCTCAGCGGCAAAGCGCCTGCCTGGCAAGCGCAAGGTCATGAGTTCGGTTCCCGGTACCGGAGAAAAACCAAAAAAAAAAAAAAAAAAAAAAAAGATTTGAGAAGCACACTTCAAACAACTGACCAGCACCTACGATAAATCTCAGAACTCAACAGCAATAAAATAAATAATCTAATTGGAAAATGAACAAAAGACACTGTCTTTGACTATCTGTGCTGCTTGCCAGAGACTGTATAAAGAAGAAAAACTCAGTGCAGTGGTGTATACTTATAATCTGAGATAATTAGAAGGCAGAGGTTCAAGGATCATATGTACCCATCAGTTTGAGGTCATCATGGGTAACAAAGTGAGACTCTACTTCCAAATAAGTAACAAAATAACAATAAATTATTAGTTCTCCAGTTTTGGAGTCTAGGAAGTCATTATCAAGGCGCTGTCACTCTGTGGCTAGTGAGGGCCCTTCTGCTGCCTCCTCACATGTAGGAAGGCAGAGAGGCATAAAAGGTCTAAGCTTGTTCCCTCCAGCCTTTTAGAAGGCACACTAACCCCTTCATGACAGCAGAGCCCGCATGGAGTCTCAGAAGAGCCCATCTCTAAAGCCATAACAATGGGAGTCAAGTTTCAGCATAACTTTTGGCAGAGACGTTCAGACCACAACAGGTACAAAAACAATTCACCGAAAAGAATACAGAGATGGCAAGTAAGCAAAAGATGTTAAACATCTTCAGCTGCGAGGGAAATGCAAATTAAAATCAGAATGAAATACCACTCCACCCCTATCTGAATGGCTAGAATAAAAGAAAAGAAAATACCACCACCAAATGCTGGCTAGGATGCTTATTCATATACTGTAGTGTTGATGTAAAATGGTACAGTCCTGTGAGGACATCTGTCAACTTTTGAAAAAACAAATCGCATAACTAACATATAACTCAACAATACCCCTACAACAGATGATGGTTAAACTGTGGTACATCTGTATTAAAGAATGCTACCTAGCATTAAAGGAACAAGCTTCTGAAACAAGAACTTTGATGAATGTCCATAAAATGAAGCTGACTGGAAAAAAATCCCAAAGGTTATATAATACTATTTGATTTCATTTATGTTACAGTTCAGAACTGTTTGTGCTGTCTCAAAATTGCTATGCTGAAAGCTAATCTCCAATGTGATGTTTGCCCTAGAGATTGAGCTTTTATTTTATTTTTCCCTTTTTTTTGAGACAGTGTGTCATTATGCAGTTCAAACTGGCTTTGAGCTCACTTTGTAGCCCGGGTTGGCCTCCAGCTCACAGAGACCTTCCCTGCCTCAACCTCCGGAGTGCTAGAATTACAGGCGTGCACCACCGTGCCCGGCCTGAGAGAGCTTGTATGAAGTACTAGACTGTAAGGGTGGAGGCTGCAAGAACAGAATTTATACCCTTGTGAAAAGGACTCCAGAAAGCTCCCTCATCACTCCCACCACGTGAAATGGATCCTCACCAGACACCAAATCTGCTGGCGTCCTAGTCTTACACTTCACAGCCTCCAAACTGTAAGAAAGAAATTCTAGCGGTTTATAAGCCACCCAAACTATGGTATTCTGTTAGAACAGCCTGAACAGACGATGACATATGTATCAAACAGCTCCTAACTTTGTAAGCATGTATTAACTTTTAATCTGTAACAATCCTTATTGTTATTATACCTGTTTAAATGCTGGCTCTTAAATGTTAGAACATCATTAAAAACGATACTGAACAGAAAAAAACCATCTTTGCCACATCCCAGAAACCAGCACAATGCCTGGCAAACAAAAGCAGCCCAATATATTCTTCTTAACCATATAAGCAAACCTACCAGGTTCTTACTCTTGTGATTCATGTGTTCTAAATCATTAAAAGCTTATCCTTGCTCTTTCAAGCTGCATGGGAAATACAAAGTGATGACTTTTAATCCCTGAGTTCAGGTCAGTTCCTGCTCTTTTCAACCCTAATGGATCGAGGAAGGCGGAGTGGACACTGAATACCCCGGGAAACAAAAAATCTGGATCTGGCTATTACTTTTGTTGCAATACTCTATGGACTCTGCTTGAGCATCCTGAAAATGACAGACTTGGCCATGATGATGTCTAAAGCCTTTTCCACACATCAGAGCATTCAGAACATTCACTGCTCTACTCCCAATAAAAACAAAACTCAAAACAAATGTATATCGATGGGTGATTAGGCAACTATTATAGTTATTCACAGGAACACTATGCCCCCGACAAAAAAGATGAAATCGTATGTATGCACATAGATAGAAGTCCAAGGTTCTGTAAGTTAAAAAATGCAGTCTTTAAAGTTGTATATAACATGCTGTGCTCATAGAAATGTGAAAAGGAACAATTTACATTTAAAAAGGACAAAAGCAGCGTATGACAATTATTTCAGAGTGAGGTGATAGCCCAAGGAACTTTTACTTTGTTGAATTTTTATATTTTTGTATTAATGAAATTTTTTACACGTGTTAAGGACTTCTGCAATCAGAAAACTATTTAAAAATAAATCACTTGTTTAAGGCAATGACTCAATTTATAAAAATGCACTTACCTCCACTATTTCAAGAATGTGTCTACAAACTAATTTTATATAGAATTCTATTACTATACAGTATGAATCTGCTTTGTATGTACATTTTTATATGCTTTTAAAACATATCACAAACTCTAATCTAAAATCTCATGTGGCCACATAACACACAATTCCTACAAATAAAAATACTAATTATGCCCCTGTGAACAAATTTTGAGTAAGTCACACAGGTAAAGGATCATAACCAGATTTAAAGGATAATAAAAGTAGAATTTCAGGCTGAACAAGAACAAATCAGGTTTAAACAGTTCCTACACCCACCAAAGGACAGCAGTAGAGGGAAATGATCAACAGCAGCTTTCTCTTGCTTCCTTAACATTTACAGAAGTTTAGTGAGACAGAGCTGATGTCCTGTCGGTATTCCAGTGTCCCTCCAACTTAGTGTCCTTAAATGGGCTACGGTAGACACTATCGCAGTACACTGAGGGTTACCTAGTGATTGTTTTTAAGTCATGTCAAGAGTTTTCCACAGAATTCTGTTTCTGAAAAGTATAAACAGAAAAATACTGTGTCCGATAAGCATGGCATAATGACAGAGACCATCAATCTGTGTCAATAAAACAGACAGCTACTTACCCCAAAAAGTGGGGCCCTAAATTACTATTGGAACAGGGCCTTCTAAGCATGACTCCCTACATCTGGCTCACTGGATCTCCCGATGGAGCTATTCCTGAAACCATTTTCACTACAGCTATCCTGAAATTTGAACAAGGGTCCCTTCCTGCTTACTTTATACTGGGTCCTGCAAATGAAGCTGTTGCTGCCATGCATGAAGGGAGACTGCACAGGTGAGAAAACTGGTAGAGAGGCAGGTCACGGTCTCAGCTGTGCCATTCAGAGGTTCATGGTTGAGGCGGGCCACTTTTCTCTGAGCTCCACTTTGTGTGTGTATGTTGTGCATGTGGGTATACGCATGTGTACAACCCTCATCACATTGAGTGCCCCAGCAGACTATACAATGTACTCCCAGTAATAAGGGTAGCTCAAAATCTTCAGTTATGGCATAGGGTAGTGATGGTGAACCTTTTAGCGCTTTCAATCGTCACAGCCAACCGGCTGCAGTACATGTGCCGTAGGTTCACCACCACTGGTTTAGGGGCACTTGAAGAAAGCACAACAGGCAATTCTGATCTGCACAACCGAAGGTGGGGCCAAAAGGGTAGAAGAAGTGCCCATTACTTAGTATAAGGCCATTTTACCAAGCCCTTTACAGCTTTAAACTCAGAATGTACCTGTGTTCGACACGGGAAAACTACTGCTTACTCACCCCGACTCACTTTTACTAACTGCAAACAATAATACATACAACACCACAATTACAGAAGGCTTTTTATTTCTCCTCAAAGGCACACCATTTGCTACACAGATCGTGTGAGGCTTAAATAATTAAATGGCAAATTGCCAAGGAGCAGCTTCATTAGATGCTGTCAAAACTGAGGTATGGTTTTCTTTTTTATAAAAAAAAACATGAAGAAAAGGACTAAAAGCATCCATATTACCTTGTTAACTTTCACACCTTCTTTCGGAGTTTGTTTTGTTGCTAGGTTATACCCAATCATCTGTTTAGCCAACTGTCCCACAACTTTGGGGCTGAGAGGGAGAAAAGAGAAAAGAAAATCAGTTTGTTGAAAATCATTTTCAGCAGAGTATAAGATCTCCATGTCTACACTGCTCAAGGCGCACCCCCCACTCCCAGAACCCAGCGCTCTGCACTCACATACTATGTGCCCAGCACTGTACAAAATACAAGTGAGTAATGCAGGCAAGAAATATCAGACGCTTGCGATCCCTGCCATGCTCACCCCCACGCTGTTATAATCATCACAGGGAAGCAGTGCTGAGACATATAGCAGAGTTCGACAAGAACTGAATAAACGCTGGAGAATGGACAATTTGGGAAATATTAAACAATGCGAGGAGTAAGCAGGAGGATGAAGGTTAAAGTAAACAATGAAGGGTGTATACATGACCAGGGATATGAGGAAAACGTTCAGAGTTGGGAGATAACATTGAAGACTGCCTCAGAGGAAGCAGGCACAGACTACTGGGGAGACGCCCCTGGTAATGTGGAGCTACTCTAGGTGCTGTAACGGAAGTGACGTTAGACAGCGGTGTTTCACTTGCAAGTAGTATCACTTCCAACATTTACGACAAATTGCTTATTGCATGGGAGAGAAGTAGAAAATTTCCCTTGATTAGGGGAGAACAAACCTTTTAAGAGAGCAGAAGGAAATCCGGGGCATTCCTGGAGCCGCTACGGATAACCGGTCTCCTCTCCTTGCTAGGGCCTGCTCCTCCACAGCCCCCACCACTCCTCAGCGGGCCTTGAGTCTTCAGCAAGACCCTCCACATCATGTGGCTCAAAGACAAGGAATTAAAACCCCCAGACTCACTCTTTTGTTAAATGAACACCTCCTTTCAGGCCACTATTGAAGACGCCTTTTCCTCTTCCTCCAGCTAAGATCTGAGCTTTCAGAACAATCTCTTTTGCATCTGAAAAAGAAGAGTTCGTAGTTGATTTTAAATTCATTCTCCTCATTTGTTTTTTTTTCATAAGCAACAAAGACAGCAGTAATGATATAAAACTTCCAAATACCAGGTAAAAGTGCCCTCAAATCAACTTCGAAAATAAAGGGAACACAAAACTTCAAAAATCGTCAGTGTGCCTAAATACAAAGCTTGTTCACCAAGAACACGCAAACCTTCCTGCCCGTTTAATCAGCCAAGAGCAAGTCCCTAGGAGAAGCAGGGCGTGTGCTCCCTTGCTCTTCTGAGTGCGTCAAAAGATGCGAGGTAAACCCAGGATGGCAGCATTAGCTTCACTGTGCAATGACAAGGCCACGTGACAGGGACACCAACCTGCCAGGCAGAGGAGCCAACTAGCTGTCTGTCAGCCACGGGACACGTAAAAGGAAAGACCAGGTTGGGAAGGGGAGAGGTTTACAGAATAGACACAAAGGTCATATTTAATAACTGTGTTCTTAGAAACCAGCAGTTTTCTAAGCAGTTATTCTATGTATTGACAGGTCCAGGGAAGGGAAAAGAAATGAAGAAATGGATTAAAACAAAGCAAGCAATATTTTCTGCTTCTTGGTACCGGGAATTGAACTCAGTACCTTGTACTTGCCAGGCAGGCACTGTGCTGCTGAGCTACATCCCTGGCCCAATATTGGCAAGATAAGAAACAAATACCCTGGGGGAACATAGCTGTGGAATATTTGTTTCTCACACTCAACAAAAGACAGAACGAGCACTGTTCATTCTTGACCTTTCAGAACACAGCTATAAACTCAAGTACCTTTGTGAGCCGAGCAGTGAGCTGGGTGTACGAAACAACCCAGTGATAAGTGAGACATCTGGCAGACAGGAAAGTTGGGGCGGGGGATGAAGGAAGAAAAGAAGAGGCGAGGGGGAGACAGGGAGAAGGGGAGAGAGCAAGCGGTGAGAGAACTAAAACAAGTATGTTTAATAAGCCCAAAATATGCACATCTTCAAAGGCCACAGCTAGTATCACGTTTTGGGGTCATGCTTGTTTAAAATCAGGGAACTCAATCTGACAGTCTTCTATTGGGGTGCTAAGGCTTTCTGGCTCAGCTCACAGTTTCAGAATCTTCAGATCCAGGGCTCAGTGTGACCTTTATGCCTCACCTGTGTGCAACATTAGGCGAGGTACTTAATGTCTCTGAGACTCAGTTTCCTGAGAACAGGTGATAAGGGTTGTTTTAAGAAATGACACAGTCCACGAGGATGCTCTACACCACAGCCTGAGAAATCATACGTATCATTAGTCACTGCCATGATCAATGAGTTAATTTATTACCTCTGTATATTACAAGGAATCAAAACAATCATTTCAGAGATGGTTAAAGAAAAACCTAACATCCACTGGTATCTCCCCTAACTCATGTGAGGTGAGAGATCTCTAAGCACTGGTATTTCCGCTATCACTGTCACTACATCCTCGTTACTCAGAAGCAGGCAGGCAAAGATTAAAACTGGAGGAAGCACAAAAAGTGTCCTCCTTCAGGTAACAAGGAGCTATGGAGGATTTTCCCACTGGCTCACAAGGCCACTGATGCTCTTACAGCACCAAAACTCGGTCACAGTCTTCACGGGTTGTCTTCTTTTCTCCTACATGCGTTTATACTCAGACATCCAGGGCCACCTTCCTCCCAGAAACACAGTTCCTTCTTAAAGCACAACCCTCTACACACTCGGACCATGCTTTATGCTTTGGACATGAAACATCTCATCATCAGTTAACCATGACTTATAATAAAGCGGTTCCCATCGAGCTGAGTAGAAGACAGCTATGCTCACTCCTCATTATCAGAAACTCATGTAAGAACAGTAGTAAAAACAAGGATCTAGGGCTGGGGGTGCAGCTCAGTGTAGAGCATGTGCCTTGCCTGCCTGAGGTCCTGGGCTCCACTGCCACCACTGCAAAGCAAAGAAATAAAAAAACCCTACAACTCAGATACCTACTGTCTTCTTTGTAGAAAACACTGACATTTAGAAAGGTAAAAGTAGCATGCCTCTGTGTAGAGGTGAAATCTAGACCAATATGATAAATAAAATATAGTACTTAACATGATTATCTCCATGCCTGGCACATTAAAAACAATTAAAATATGATAGCTATCATCATTATAATTATTGCCAGCAACTACCAGAAAATGGTATATAGGAAGACACCAAGTGTATACTCTCTGCTGTCTACTCAAATGTTTAGCTGTGATAACATAAAATCCTTTAAATGGCTAACTAGCATTCCATTGCCATTATCTTTTTCACATCCATGCCATCCAGGGAAGAGACGCCCTCCTGTCCAAGCTCCCCCGTGGCACAATTTAAAAGCCAGACAGCACACCTAACTGGGCACTGCTAACTGGTACGCCCTAGGCTGTGATCAGCTTTGGTTACTAACCATCAAGACACAGAAATGGCTATGGCTTCGATAAAGAGTTATCAATGACTCTTGTTACCATCTGACCTCATCTCCAATGGACTCCATGGCATGGAAGTGATAACCAAGCACGTGGCCCTAGACAGCAAGTAATGTGTCCCTAAAAGAAGTTAACTTCTAACAGTATGAGATGTGCAGTGATACTGTTCACAACGCCATCACACAGTGCTCCAGGGCAGACTGTGATGGAAACCTATGCATCCTAGGAGGTTACCTGTACCTGTGTGACTCGGCAAGTAAAACAGTGATTCTTAATGGAGTATTGCAACCCACCTAGATATGTGTGTACCTGTGACGGCAGGCGTTTATTATTATTACACAAATGTCTACACTTTCTTATTTAATTACTAAACTTGTGTTTATGATTTTGTTAAACAAGTTAGTACGTTAAAATAAAAAAGGAGCCAGGCGTGGCGTTACATGCTGGTAATCCCAGCACTCAGGAGGTTGAGGTAGGAGGATCATCACGGCAAGTTCGAGGTCAGCCTGAGCTACATAATGAGACCCTGTCTCAAAATAAATACATATACATATACATAAATGGAAATTTCATTTATATACATTACCTATATCATATATTTTATATGGAGCCAAAGAAAATTCCTCTTTCCTCAAGGCAGCCTAGATAAGCCACATGCTTGGACATCCATGTGGTAGATGAAGCAAACACTGGACAGTGAACTCAATATTAGGATCACAGTTCCACTTTGCTTTTATTGCAGTGCTAGGAGTTGAACTCAGGGCCTAAGGTCTGCAAGGCAAGGGCTCCACCAGGGAACTAAAACCCCAGCCCCACCCATCAGGGTGAATAGAAAAAGGTTAAGCAATCTCTGCATATCTTCTGGAACTCAGGCTCCAGTCCGAGAATAAAGTCACAAAAATCACCTCAAGTACTAAACCACTCTAGCAAGTGAGAAGCCAAAGTAAAGCAAGTTTTCTCCTCTTGAGGGAACTGGTCACAGAGTAACTTAATTCAAATTTATTCAAGGTTAAGGAAAGTGGCCAAATCCTGCACAACAGTGACAGGCTCTTCATTCAGTATTTACCAAATTGATTCCACTTAATGTCACTGTTGCCATTTTATTTAAAGATCAGATTTCCCTTTGGAAAAAACATTATCTCCTGCCTTATCCTACAGAATTATAAAAGAATGCCCCATTTATGAAATTCAACTTTCTTCTCAAATTTGATTTAACCATACTTTAGGATAATAAGCTAAAGAGAAGGGAGAATCCTACTCTAATGGATTTTACAAAGAAATGTATTACACATACACATTACTAACCATATCATTGGACAGTGAGTTGGTGTTACTCTAAGGTACTTACTCTTAAATGCTACTCTTACATGGAGCAGCCTAAATGTGCAAAACACACACTGCATTTTGTTCCTTTTCCAGGGAGTTTCTGATAATGGACAGTATGTACTCCTGGTCAGGTTTCCACTGTTTTATTGGAAAAAGTTATAATTTTTTAACATATTAGGAGAAAAAGCACTGTAAGATGTATTTAGTAAACTGACAAAAAAGTGTAAGACTCTCAAATACCATATTACTTTTAAGAACAATATTTACAGCCTTTAAAACCTAAATAAAACCCTACACACGGTCTCATTTACTCTAATGTGTTGTGTTTGCCTCTCATTCTTTACCACAAATGTTATTCTAATTATAATACAGTTTTATACCAGATTTTACAGTCTCCCAAGTCTCATGCTGCATAGCAAATATTCTTGGATTCATTGTTAAATCTAACAAAGTTAAATTCATTAAAAGCACAACATAAGAAGAATAAATAAATGTTTTTAATCAGGCAAGATTTGTAAAAATGATTTGCTCTGTGTTTCAGAGATGGCACTCTGAAATTATATACTTATGCAAAATAATGTTCACAAGACGTGGTTCAGAACCACAATCGAGACTACAGTAATTGTGTGAGAATGTTAATCAAGAATACCAAGAAGTTAGTTTCAGCTACCATTCTGAAAACAGTTTACTGATGAACCAAGCATTTGTATGTCCCAGCTGGCTTTTATTCAGTATTGCTCTTGCAAAATATAATACTTTCCTAAATGCAAAACAGCACCATGTACAGGCACTGCAGTGAGATGACTACCACAATGATCATCTATTTCAAGTCAATAACACTGGACTTGTTGTGGAAACTGTAATTTCTATGGTTCACTGACTGGAGCAAAATTGGAATATCCAGTTTTCAGCAGAGTTGCATTGTGTAATTTCTAGCATGGCGATCACCTTTCATCAGGTTTGATAGAACCCTAATTGAGACTGTTAAAATGTATTTCAGCATTTCAGATTTACCTATTACCAGAAGGCAAACAGAAGGGAGAGGGGAAGGCAAGAGAAGACTTGAAAGATATTATGGAAAAACAAACTTTTATAAAAGAACAAAATTATAGGAAGATAAGTGACAGGCCTAAGTATCAATTTCCCAAAGGAAATGAGCTAATTTCCGTGCTTTCATTATGACTCCTGAATCCAAACTCCGAAACAGTTACTATAATATCT